CCCCCCCCCCCGCCCCCCAGGTTGAATTTCACAGGCACATCCTTGGGGAGGCCGGGCAGGAAAGGGAAGTGCCTCGCCCCTGGCTGACAGGACGGCCCTTGCTGGGAGGCTGAGGGACAGTCTCACTGTCACATCCAGTCACCCCTGTCACCTGCAGACCTTGCCCCTGCTCTGGCCTCCCCTGTCCAGGACTGTGACTGCCACCCAGGAAAGTGTTTGGTGAGCTTCAGAGAGTTGGGGGTCACGTCTCGTGGGCCATGGCCACTGCAGGGGCAGGGGGAGCGCTGGACGGGGTGTCAGATCCTGGGCTCTTGTCTCCAAGCTGCCACCCACTCTGTGGCTTTGTGACCTTGGGCAAGGCCCTTCTCTGATCTGAGCCTCCATTTCCTGCTGTGTAGAGTGGAGCTGGTTTTGCTTCCCTCCTAGGAGAAAGCCCCTTCCAGGAAGCAGGGAGTCAGAGGCTGAGAGGGCTTGGGGCAGGCGGGCTGAGTGACCACGGGAAGCGGGGAGGGCAGGTGCTCCCCTGCTTACCGGCCCCTTCCCTCCCCACGGCCCTATGACACCTCCTCTGCTCTTGGAGACCCGGCACGAGTGACCTCACCTCCCTCAGCCTCAGTTTCCCCGTCTGTCCCTCAGGGTGGGCTGCGCAGGTTGGAATGACTGAAGCCGAGAGCCCAGCACACAGGGCCGGGCACAGTGGGTGTCCAATCCAGGGCAAGGACAAGGTCAGTGACCCGGGAACAGGTCCTCGCCGTGGGGAGTCCACCTGCGCGATGGGGTCTGGGATGGAGCCTCCATTGGCTTTAGAAGGAAACGGCTGAGAGCGGCCGACGGCAGGGCCGCTGGCTGCCGCTCTAGGAGCAACGAGGGTGGGGAAGCAGGGCCTGAGGACTGGGCGTCTTGCGGTGGGAGCCTGGAGTGAAGACGGACCAGCCAGGCCACCGCGACCAGAGCGAGCGGAAGCCCTGAGCCGGGAAGTGACGCACCCAAGGCCACACAGCTCGTGAGGGGCGGAGCTGCGACTGGGCCCCAGGTCCGTGTGCTTCTGAACCCACTGCTGGCGCTGCCCCAGGAGGCTTGTGATGTGGCCCGACTCACAGCAGTTCCCTTACTCCCAGCCGGAAAATCCAGTGCCACGGTGGACTCCCGCCGGCGTCGGCTGCAAGAGGGTGACCTGCATGGACGCCGTGGCCGGGAGGGCAGAGGTGACGGGGCATCTCGGGCTGGCTCACCTCCGAGGCTCCGGAGCCCCTTCCCGCTGCTCTCTGCCCTGACCTCACAGCGCACTGCCATGGATGGCGGGGGCCGTCCGCCCACAGCGGGGCCTGTGGGGGGCGTGGGGAAGGCTCTGCAGGTGGCCAGGCGCACAGGCTGGGCCCCGAGGTCCTCTGTGGCCTGAGGAGAGTTCCCACAGTGCCCACGCCTCTGGAACGGGAACAGCAGTGGGTCCAACTTCTTGGGGCTGTCATGAGGCTTACCTGAGTTGACGTCCGTGAAGCAACTACCAAGTGTCTGGCATGCAGCGGGCACTCAGTAGCTACCAGCGGTCATTTTCTCTGGGGGCCCACCTTGTTCTGCCCTTCTCTGGTTCTGAAGGGTTGTTATGGACAGGCTCACGGGCTGTGAAGCTTTGGGGCATTGGGATGGGCTGGAGGCCCCCTCTACCTCCCCTGGGGTCCTGGGAGGGTCCGGGGGACAAAGCAAGCAGAAATGGGGGTTTGTGTGGAGGTTTATGACTGTTGAGCTCCCCCAAGGAGAGTGATAACTGTGCTCTGTTAACTTTAGGGTCTTCCAGCCGCTGAATCCTCTCCAGCTGGCGCCTGGGAAATGGCAGCCTCTGCTAGTGCAGCCTCGAAGACAGTCACTTGCCTGGTGAGCACCGTTACTTAGAAGATAGGATTCCAGAGGTAAGATTAAGGTCACGGATATGCGCCTGTCCACGCAGTCATGCTCATCTGTGCCTCCACCCACCCACTAGTCTCTGTGTCCACCTACCCGCGCACCCATCCACCCGCCTGTTCGACTTCTCATTCACCCATTTTCCATCCATTAGTTCCACACATCCCCCCATCCATCTAACTGTCCACCCACCCACCCAACCCAGCCAGCCATCTTTCCATCCATTCATCCCCCCAGCCATGCAGCCACCCACCTACCCATCCATCTATACATCTGTCCATCCACCCACCCAATCTATCCATCCACCCATCCATCCATCCATCCATCCACCCACCCATCCACCCACCCACCCATCCATCCATCCACTCAATCCATCCATCCATCCACTCATCCGTCCATTCACTCACCCGTCTGTCCGTCTGTCCATCCACCCATCCACTCGTCCATCCATCTATTCATCCACTCATCCATCCATTCACTCATCCGTCTGTCTGTCCATCCATCTACCCATCCATCCATCCATCCATCCATCCACTTGTCCGTCCATTCACTCACCCGTCCGTCCGTCTGTCCATCCATCCACCCACCCATCCATCCATCCATCCATCCACCCACCCACCCACCCACCCACCCATCCATCCATCCACTCGTCCATCCATCTATTCATCCATTCACTAATCCATTCGCCCAACTCATCTAAGCAGTTTTCACCCACCTAAACGAACCATGCCTCTAGTCACCCCCTATCCATCCATCCCCGGCCGTCAGCCCTGTTCATCCATCCACACGCTTGACCCCCCACCTGTACGTGTAACCGTCCCCTCATCCATCCCTCTGTTCAGCAGCTTATTCCCTCGTCTTTGTCTGAACACTGAGCATTTCCTGGGTGCCCCCGCTGTGCCAGGCCTGCACCAGCCTCTCTGGACCTCTGAGGTTGACCCGAGATGGGGCCCAGGCAAGGCCAACTCTCACACAAGGTGGAAAGTAGCTTCTGGTCCTGACAGGAGAAGCCCAGGGCCAGAGAATATGTAAAAGGGCTTCGTGAAAGCGGTGGGCTTCTGCTGATTCCTGACTGATGGGGGGATTTCCAGCATTCCCATTGGCTGTGATTGGGAGGTTGGACCACAGGGGGCAAGGCTTGCCACAGGAAAACCCTCAGGAGCCTGTTGCTGTGTAGATAGGAATGGCCTGGACGGCAGGTGTCTGTGCGCAGACAGCTTCGATCATTCAGGGGCTAAAGTACACAGGACCTGGGAAGGGAGTGGGTCTGGGGGCTAAAGGACAGGGAGGAGGCCAGGCTTGTGGCTGGGCTAACTGGGGAAATGGTTGGACTGCCCGGTGACCCCATGAGGGGGACGAGTGGAGGGAAGGCGGGGAAGCTTTGGAGGAGCGGGGGAGCACGTTGGCCACGTGGCCTTTGAGGGGGCCCCAGGAGCTGATGGGCCTTGGGAGGCCGAGTAGAGCAGGTGCCCTGAGTATGCCCGTCGTGGTAGGCAGCTGCTCCTGGGGCACTAACTCCCTGGCATGCCAGTGCACGGGCAGAGCAAGCTTTCGGGTGGAAAGACTGGTGTTGGTGGTTGGAAGCTGGGCAGGTGGGCCTCGAAGTGGTGAGGGCCCGGGGACAGCCAAGCACCGGCCATTCCCATGCCCAGCACAACGCGACACGTCTCTCCTCCGGCCTCACAGGGGCCTGGCAGGGGCCTGGCCCAGAAGGCCTGCACGGTGTTGACCCCAAACGTTTGCAGGCCACGGGTGACCGAGGCCGGCTGAATGTTTTGGGGAGGGGGAGGGAATGTGTCTGGGAAAGGTGGGCGGGCACAGGAGACGGCGGTTGTCTCCCCAGAGTGTGAGAACAGAAGTGTCGGCCCTCTAACCCTCCACCTCCTGTCCAGACCAGCTCTTGGCTCTCCTCAGCCAGCCTCAACCTCCTCACTGGACCTTGGGGTGCCAGCCTGTTCTCCCCTCCCCACCAGGAGTGCCCCCCCCCCCACCTCTGCGCCCCAGTCCTTGGAGCCTGCCGCCCCTGAGCTGCCCCGTCTCACTGCAGTGCACCCTCCAGGCCTGGCCCATGCCTCTCACTTCCTGTGTGACTGAGCAAGGGCGCCCTTCTTGGAGCCTCCGTCTTCCCACCTGCAGATGAAGGATTGGATTTTGCAAGCTCTTGTGCTAAGTCTGATGGGTAGTAACTGGATAAGGATGCTGAGGCCACCGCAGGGTGCAGTGAGAAAACGCTCTGTGACGGATTAGTATGTCTGCCTTGGGCATGGGCTCGGGGGGAGGTGTATGTGGCTGCACGCTGGCTTTCCCTGAAGCAAGTGATTTTTAAGGATTCTTCCGAGAGACCATGGACTTGGAAGGACTTGACCATGAGGTAGTGAGTGCCCTGTCCCTGGATGTTCCAAGCAGGGCCTGAATGGCCATAGATCAGGAGTGCTGGTGAGGGTCTTACCTCTGCTTTCATGTGCTCAGATTGGGGTTATTTGTGTCTTATCACCATGTGGCATTGCAGGGACCCTGAGGACCGAGGCTTGGAACACAGTGTCATGTCCACAGTCTGCCCTTGGGGCCTAGGGGAATGGGGGGGTTGAGTTCTCTCCTACCCCCCCAGACTAGGAGCTCACTCCTGAAAGGCTGTGTGACCCTGGGTAAGTGACTCAAGCTTTCTGACCTTCAGTTTCCTCATCCAGAAAGTCATAATAAGGGATTACGTGAGGTACTCGAGCTCTTAGCGCCTGGCAGGTAGTAAGCACTTGATTACTCTGCTCGTCCCTGTGAAGGGGTCCTGCCGCCTGGGAGGCCTCCCGAGGGAGGGGGACGCTGAGCTCCTCCTCGGTGCCCCCTCCATTGATCCGACTAGTCCGCGCTTTCTTGGCCTTGTCCTGGCCTCCTCCGGACGTTGCTGAAACCTGAGGCCCAGAGCCTCGGGGGACCTGGCATGGGGTGTCCCGCTCCATCCGGGGGCACTTCGCGATGACTCTTGGCCCTCGGGTCATGTGTTAGCTGCCTCCCTAAAAGCTCCCAGCTCAGGTCCTGCTGGTGCGCCAAGCCTGCCGGGTGCCGGGAGGCTGTGTGCACAAGCGCTGTGGTCGGCGGGCCCTGGAGACGCCGGGCTCGGGACAGCTCCCCCTCCCCTCGGGGTCTCTGGGTCCAGCCTGCTGGGCCTGCCTCACTCCCAGTCTCCAGTGCTGAAATCGCCTAGGCTGGCTCAGGGAGGGGACCCTAGTGCCTCTCTCCCCTTTCCCTCCCAGCGATGCCTGGGACCCCCACTGGCCAACCTGGGCGTCCGACCAACGTAGTCTTAATTATTGTCTTTACCATCTATCTCATCCTGGCCCACAAGGTGTTTTGTGACCTGGGACGAGTCTCAGCCTCAGTTTTCCCATCTATAAAACGGGGGAGCCGGCCTCCTTGCTTGCTAAAGCCTCTTCCAGCAAAGCAAATCTAATTTCCTTTCTGTCTGATCTGTGTGCACCCGTTGAACAGGAGCCATACGGGGCCGCACGTTGCTGGTTGAGAATCTTGTCCCTCACTTATTTTTCTTTCTTCCTTTCTTTTTTTTTTCGGTCACACTACACGGCTTGCGGGATCTTAGTTCCCCGATGAGGGATCACACCCGGGCCCCCTGCAGTGGACGTGCAGAGCCCTAACCACTGCGCCACCAGGGAAGTCCCCCACGTTTCTTAAACCGAGTCCTTAAAGACCACAGAGCCCTGTAACCATCTTGCCTTGGGTGTGCGGAGGGTCGCTGGACGTTTGGCAAGTTTGTGGTGCCGGGGCTGCTACTGTGGGTCCTCTTCTCGGCCTTTCTCTGTGGCGGTGTGTTCACCAAGCGCCCGCGAGGTACTCCCCCCACCCTTGGCATCTCATGCACGCATACGTATGCACACACGTGTGCACACAGAGCCGCCCGCTGTGTCTCTGCTCCTTGGCTTCAGGGGACTCTGCACAGGTGACTTTGCTCCGAGTACCAGTTTCCAGCTCTGAGAAGTGGGGGAGTGGCTGCGAATGTGACCTGTTGATTTTCGCTGTGGCTTTAGGAGGAAGACCAGTAGAAGAGAGGTTCCCAGGACTGTGCAGCACAGTCTGGGTGCGGCCCAGGCGCCCAGCCCAGGCAGAGATCCCAGTGGTCACTGTGACACGCCCACCTGTCTGCGAGCTGGCCAGGTGGGGGGCTGCCCAGCTGCTGGGAGCAGTGTGCCAGGCTGGGCTCCTCTGGCCTTCGACTCTTGCGATTCTGTCCCCCGCAGGCCTCGAGCTGCTCAGAGCCCCACCTGGGGCAGCCATGACCGGCTGGACGTCCCTCAAGGCCTCCCGGCCACACAGACCTGCCCCTGGTGATCCGGTGGCCTGCTGCTGGCATCGGCGTGCCCCAGACCTGGCCACCTCCCCCTGGAAGGCCCAGGAGTCTAGGGCTGAGCTGTCTCCCTGGCACAGTCCACGCGGTTCCCACCACCACTGGCTCCTGGACCAGGCAGGAGCCGTGTCCACCACTGTGGCCTGAGGCCTCAGCTCCTCAGACCCGGGGTGAGGCTGTCAGCTGGAGCAGCCGTGGGGGAAGGATGGCAGCCTGAGCAGAGGCCGCCGCAGAGCCTGGGGTCCCCACGGTGGGAGGCCTTGTGTTAGACAGAAGTGGTTCTGCGCCCGCCCAGCTCTCCTGCCTAGTGGCTGTGTGGCTTTGAGGAAGTCACTTGGCCTCTCTGAGCCGCCATCCAGAGCGTAGAAGTCGCCACGGTAGCTATTACCTCCTTGGGCTTCCGAGCGGGTGACACAGGAGCGTTTGCTGACAGGTCTGGCCTGCTGTCCCTGTGGATGGATGAGCTGGTCCGGGCAGCAGAGAGCGCCCTGCACCTGCCAGACCTGGGGATCCAGTGGCTCCAGCGACCGGGCAGGCCCTGGGAGGGGTCTGCAGCCTGGCTGGCCATGTGTGTTTGGAACAGAGGTCAGAGGTCACCCCGTCCCACAGACCAGGGCTGGGTCGCAGTGCTGCCGCCTCCTCTCTCCTGGCCTGGCCGCCCTGGACCTTCTCTAGGGCCTCAGTGTCTCATCACACGTGAGCACCCCGAGGCTCAGCTAGCTCTGACCTCATTGGGCGACTGGTGGGGGTCAGGGGCGTGGGGCCCATCCGTAGGGGGCGCAGGTCCCCCCCCC